TGGCATTTTGCCAAATTGAGAAAATTACCATTTTAGACCCTTTTTCAAAGCGATTTTTTTATACTTTGCACACTGATTTGAAATTCAGGAAACAGTGCATTGTATAGATGGTACATAAGTTAGTTTAAAAACATTAAAATATTTATGGGACACCTCAACATTTTTTTTAAAAAGCTGATGAAAAATTACCCAAAAATTTGCAAAATTTCCGTATTTCAAGGAACATATGCACATTTCATTAAGTTCATATAGAAAAGAAACGTTCCTTTCTACCTGTTTTAATGTCATTTACAGTAAAATTAGTTCCCCATATCTAGGAGAGGTGTCATGTAAGAATATTCACATCTCATTTCCAAGAGCATTAATACATGTAAATCTGTTCTTAGATAGGAGAACTGTGAACACCTGCACAAAATGCCCTCCCCCCCCCCTTTTCCGTAAAATTGACAATTTTGAAGTACATGTAGACTAACCAGGGCATGTTTCAAGTTTCCTAAAACTACCCACTTAGATTGAAAATAATATGAAATAAAATTTTCCCTATCCATTCTCTATTACTATGGAAACAGGAATGCAAGATTTGTTACCATGGGGACCAGGAGGATGCCGATTTTTAACCAAAATGGCTGTGTTTAACGTAACAATATTCTCACAACTACACTTATTTATCTTTTATAAAACCTGTATAATGAGTTAAATGTGAATGTGAACTAAATTTTTTGGCATCTAAATTTGCATCTTTATGATGTTGCAAAAATATAATGCATTTTGTAATGCTATGTCAAATAATTGCAAAACCTTGTGGCTTTTACCTTTTCAAGATTTGGCCAAACTTGAAAAATTCTGAAATGAAACTAAAACAAGCAGGACATTCATAATATTTTACTCATTTCAACTTGTTACTTTGTATAATTTTTTATTTAATTCATGGGCAACTGCAAACCACAGATACTTTGAATGAAGTAAAAAATTTACCCCCCTTCTGATTTTTCTTTTAAAACTTACTGAAACACGGCTTTAAACTTGAGAAAAATTATATTGGTTTAAAAAAAATCACATCCTCTTCGGTAAGTTATCTTGGATTTAATCATAACTAGAACTGTCCAAACGGGACAAAATACCCCGCTGGGTTTTTCAAAAGTAAGTTTTTCCATGATAAAAATGTGTATCACACATTATGAAATTTTTCTCCTGGTGATCTTAAACTTCCCCCAAATGACCTTGGGTCAAGGTCATGACACACCATAACGTCATAGGCAATCTCTGTGTGAAATGAGAACCTACCAAGTTTATCCATAAGAAAGACAAGAACCGGACACAAATTATAAAATTCTTCTTCCAGTGACCTTGAAGTTCCCAAATGACCTTGGGTCAAGGTCATGACACACCCTTAAGATCATGGGCAATCTTTGTGTGGAGTAGTAGATTTTAATGTCCCTCCATAAGAAAGATATGGACCAGACATGTTTGCACAGACAGACGGACGGACGGACAGCTAGACAGCTAGACAGACAGACGGACAAGGTGATTCCTATATACCCCCCCAAACTTCATTTGCGGGGGGTATAAATATCCAACAATGGAAAACTTTAAACATAGTGTTTGGCATATAATCAACAATTAGGTGTGCAATGGATCTTTTGTATTCTGTAAAGTCAGTTGAAACAATGCCCCCCCCCACCATGAGACACTGTCCCCCACAAGTATCATTTTAAGGAAGTTCTTCCTTTCATTTTACTAGGTTCCTGCCAACATCTCATCACACCAACTATATCAATCTCCTTTCTTTTTTTTCACATGTACAAGTGTAAATATAAATTCTGAAAACAAGAGAACTTTTTGCTTTTTTTATTTTTTATATATGCAACATTTAGAGTACATGTATTCTCAACTACAGTATATATCATTAGAATTACGTGACAAATTCTACTGTTTCTGCTGCTCTGAAAATCTTGTCTCTGATTTTTCAATTTTAGAGTTTTTGTTGGTCAGGCATGTACCAGTAATGACCTACATTGACAACACTGATAATTAGTTAATGAGAATTATGCTGAGTTGAGTTTTTTGGGCAAGGTACTGGATACAGCTTGATAAGTTATAAAACATATTGTTATACAGCATAAGATTTGAGGAAGCCATCACATAATATGATAAACATGGTCTTATTATATTTGTTATATTTGAACTTTGACATCTCAAACACTGATATCTTGAAGACATTGGGTACAAGTATGTTGAAGTAGGTTGAAATTCAGCTTTCACTTGCCTGGTTTCAAACCTAAAATATGGCATCCCTTCTCAACCTGCAATGGTAAATAATTCCTGCACTTTCCAATATACACTGATTTCAAGCTAATTAAATGTGTATGTAATCCTTTAGAAAGTTGTTTTCTTTATTCTAGTACATGTATCATAATTCTTCTGTTACTGGATAGGTATTAAATTTTGTTTAAAAAAAAGAAATATGCAAGGTTTAAATTTAGATATAAAACTGAAATATATTTTTTAACAATTTAAGGAGAGATGATACAAACAAACTTTTGTCAAAGAATTTGAAAATAACAACTGGGGTCATGTTTAAATCAGTAAAATTAATAACTTTCTTCCAGTACTTTTTAATTTTTAATTCATATTTGCATAAAAATGGAATTTGAAGTGAAAAATATTTGTATAGATTAATAAGCATAGTTTCAAGAGGGCAGACTTTTGAACATCACAGAAGGTGTACAATTTCTTAATATTCTAGAAATTTATTAATAGCATCATTAATTTGCAATTAAATTATGCCAAAAAATATATACCATCCAGGCATCCATTTTTTGTTTGTATCATTTGTCCTTAATTTACTTTCATATTTGAATGGTTACCTTGAAAAGAACAAAATCTAGGCTGTCCACTTTCTTGCAGAATGCACTTGAACTTCAGTCATGGCCTATTTGGTCCTGTTTTGGTTTACTGGTCTTACCTTTTCTTTATTCATCTTATATGGTAAATCCTTTGATGAAAAAATGATGAAAATAATTATTTTCCTAGGAACATGATCAAAAGGAAAATTCAGTTCATTCATACACAGACATGTTCATGTGTGTGATCATCTTACCAGTAGTGAATATTTGCCTGAGTATCAAATAAAAGGAAGCACACCTTAATTTTAGCCGCAGCCTCATCCACTTACTTTATGAATATTGGAATACGAGAATTAATACGATTAATACACAAATACTTGATTTAAAATCCCAGCTTAAAAACAAAGAAAATACTAACGAAATGGAACATATAAACAATCTATTAGTGCAATGCAAACTTTATGAAGAAGAAGGAAGCCATAAGGAATCAACAAAAGCATTCAAGGACAATAAAAAATCCCAGTAATTGTTATCTACACCCCCCCCCCCCTTATATAATGGACGAATTGTAGCGAGGACCTACATACCCTTCACGTTTCGTCTGAACAATTTCATCATAAAACTCCCCAATCAAACTTTGAACATTCTATACAAGAAATTATCTTTGTTTATATTAATACATGTTAATTATTTTAATGTAATTTTATGAACAATTATTGTCCTCCATAAAATAGGACTATTCAGAAGTAGAAATTTATGAAACCTAACTACATTTTATATTATCCCAACATTTATAGGAAATGTAATCTAATGTCCACTTGTATAATTTTACGTACTCTATATACATGTACAAACCCTCCGTATTTTTTTCCATTGTGACGTCACAGTCTACCAAAACAGCTTGATGATGTAACAGAAGAATAACAATCCACACAATTTATGGACGATTTTATTAATCATAAAACAATAATGTTATCTACTGACTAAATCTTAAGTCAGAAAAACTTTAGAGGAAAATGTAAATCTATTTAATTTACAAAATACCATTTGTTAATGTAGTTTGTATATGGTATATTTGCATTTTATTTTGTATATAGCAACGTCATCCGCATTTTTTGTGTATATAGCAACGTCATCCGCATTTTATTTTCAGTAGATAAATTTACATGCTTACTTGTTCTGATGACGACCGTCACAGGTCGAAACCGGTCAACAAAATAAATTTACTGCTGCATTCTCACGAAGTGTTGGTGATCTGTTTTATACTTTTAAGTTTATAACTTTAGTTACAGACCCTATTGAATACCTTTCGGTATCCACACGTGAGAATCTTCCGCAATTTTAACCTCAAGGTGTTGGTCTCCAGCTTTTCTTTGTTTTGTATCAAATAATTTGTTTAGAATATTATAAAACATAGTCAGTGTGTATAAAACAAATATGCTATTTGAAAAGATTATTATTATTCACACAAAATTGAACTATAGATTATACAGTACCGGTACTTCACATGCAAATAAAAGAGTCTATATAAACAAAAATAACTCAATATTTCCAGTGCATTCTTAACCTAGATCTATTTTGTCAATACATATAGTACAGTTTTGGATATATATATAATAAATTTAAAGTTTAAAATATAGAAGCTATTAAATAAAATAATGACATCAAAACAAACATGCTGTTTTCCTATTTTCTGCTTATGAACATCACATGACCATATTTTGCTGATATATAGAATACTATTTTAAAAAACTTACTAGCTACTTTATGCTTGTGCTCACACATTATAAACCTTTGATGCACTTTTTTTTATAGAAACAAACTTGCTCTAGTTAAATATTTTAACAACACAATTCTGTAAAATATATGCCTAATGCCAATAAAGAATTGAAATAATAGGATAACTGACCGAAAACTGACAGAGGTGGTAATTTATATTATAAAGATAAATAATGCTCACTTAAAAGTCTCTCTCAGCACATCATAAAAAGTAAACCTACTGAACATAATACTGAATGGCACAGATTTTATACAATCTCTATATATACATTTATATTTCGGGAAGGGGGGGGGGGGTTTAGCTGTATCAGCAAGTGATGTTTGTATGCTTCAAATTCATTTTTATCAATAAAAATAATTAATTCATTGGTCAGAAAGTCAAACTGTCAAAAGGTATAGCAGGGACCTATATACTAACGGGATTGGCAACTCTAGTACTGAACTGTGAAAATCTGCTGAAATCTCGCACGTCACGAGATCCTGCGAGATCGGTCTATTTTCAAAGTTTGTACTGCTGGTCTTACTGGTCAGCTTGTCAAGTAGATTCAGTCTCTCGGATCGATTTTCTTTCGACATTCGGTAACACTTCTTCCTCAGGTTGGCCACAATGAATCCCGATATGTAGAACAGAATTGTTTGGTCATTGGTAGAAATCTGATATGATAGTTCCTCGGACACTTTCTTGTTTTCCTTCAGAAGGCCTCCAAGAATTTCACTAGGTATCTCGAGAATGTAGTCCTGAAGGAAGTTTATAATGTCTTCTCTCTTTTCTTCACATCCTTTTTCACTGAATAGATTAACACATTCACTTTGAACACAGGAAGACAGTCTCAACTCATGGATCCTTGAGAAGAAGAGCTCCCTTTCACTGGAATCGCACAACGAGAGACTGAAGATGTCTTTGAGTTTGTTAAGGAAAAATGCATCCAGGAAGTCTGTGTCGCTGCAAAATCTAGCCAACACCTCCATGCGATTGTCCCCGAACAACTTGTACATTGGATTGTTGCACATCTTCTCAAGTGTTTTCTTACTAGCCTCGGAACAAATCTTCTCGAAGTCCACTAATGTTGCGGCAGCAGGTGATCTGTGGTCTTCTTTAGCCTTCTGGGTTACTCGATGATCACTTGCTGTAAGAAATATAAGAATTAATTATATGTTACACATAAAATTGTTTTTTTTTTTAAGCTTAGATACTAGATACTTAGATACACTAGAATACTGAATCAGTTAAGTCTTTTGAAACAACATGTTTTATAATAATTTGATTAATTTTTGTTAAAAGACAACAAAAATCATATTTTAAAAAAGTCAAATGTGTACATACCTTTTGTTCTGCTTTTTTTGTGCTGTTTGGTCATATGCCCCCGAAATCCTGAAATGGATTTCAAAATCTTCTTGCAGTCTGGGCACTGGTAACTTGGAACCTCAGGTGGGCATTAGTTCTCTGCTGAATCTTTATCCTCATGGTCTGTGTAGTCACCTAAAAGTTCATCTAAATCAATGTCATTGTCCCAAGACAGAAAATCTTCTTTACTACACATGGTGCTCGAATATTTCGTTCACATAAAATGATGAAATGGTTGCAGATCAACCACCCCCCTATAATGTTTGTACACCGTGTGCTCCTCATTATTTTTTTAACATGCTTAAAACAACAACAGGTACCACACGAGCGCTTGATAAACACACAGGCAAGCCCCTGATCACCTTGATCGTCCCCTAGTACTAGCGCTATCAAAACTACTTTGATTAATTCATTAATAATTAGTAACTGGGTACAATCAACATAATTAAATCGTTGTCTGTAACAACAAACCAGAATTTCTTCGCTTTTGGTCAAATTAGAGGTCAATTACCTATCTATCGAACCATTAAACCGCATTGTTGATAGAGGGCGGAGCCCTCTCACGGGCCCCTCCCTATAGGTAACACGTATGTATATGAAAAATAAAAGAAATCTATTGTAAACTATATGTCAATTACAATACCTATGGAACTGAGATTCTTGTCGCCAATATGGCGTCCTGTAAAATGGCGTCGTTCTGATTCACGCGCAAATTCTCGTTGTTGATGAGACTTTCATAAAAGTGAAAACCATTTAATCCAAGGATAATTAGTAGTAATGGTTTTTTACTTAAAATCAAATCCATCTTCCAACTTTCGATTTAGACGTTTAGATTTATTTATAGTTCGCGCTTCACAAGTATAACGGCATTTGATTGGTTAAATTTCCCTACAGGCGGCGCTGTCGTCTGCACTATTGAGGAGCGGATCTATATGTGGCGCCTTTCACTAGGCTGTAGAAGGAAAATAATCCTTATTTATTTGTTAATAAAATTTAATAATAACGAATGTCTTCAGGATTATTGTCAATACATACCAAGCTAGAAATATAGTATTTTTTTTTTTAGACATACTGTACAATTTTTTTGAACAGGTAAATATGTTTTAAAAGTTATATTTAAAATTTAATACCCTGTGAAAAGTCTAAATATAGGGACTCAATAAATGTGTGGAATATTTTTAAAAAAATTTTTTAGGTATCCAAATTGTTTATGAATATCTACTTGTACATAGATATATAAATATTTAGCAGATGGAAGTCTGAGTCTCATTTTTGTTGTGATTTTTAAAATTCAATATTTTAATTTTATGAAGTTTTTCAAAATGACAAAATTTTAGTATCTTAAATATAATAATCAAAACAAAAATCTTAATGGATATATAAAATTATATATGAATTTTAAAAATATAGAAAAGATTTTTTTTAGACAATTGGAATTACATATATACTGTAAAGTCTAAAATTAGGAAAAACTAAGTTAGACAATGTATGATGTACAGTCTGGAGAGGTAGTTGTTCAGTCTGCATGTATCAGTAAATGCATGTAAATAGTTATATGACTTCAATGTTGCAGTGCATGCTGTTAATGTAATACACATCAAGCATATCAATATAGTTTTCTATCCTAATAAATGTGCTTTAAAACTTTTAAAAACATGAAGCAAATATTCAGAATTTTTGTTTGACATCAATAAAGATAAATATTCAATTCAAACTTCTCAGAAGTGTACCCTACTATTCACAAGTTTTGGTTTTGAAACTATATGATTAACCAAGTTTTTTTTCTTCAGATAATTAAAAAGTATAACTGTTTTCAAAACGATTGTGTTAATGTTAGATTTAGAAAATTCGAAGACTATTTAAATCAGATTTGTTTTAACAAAATCAGCCAAAAAAAAAAAAAAAAAAAAAAAAAAAAAAAAAAAACCTGAAAAGTGAAATATACCTAATAAATGTCCCTAATCATGAATCCGTTGCAAATTTTTTTTCTCATAAAAGTTGTGATGCTGTTATATTTTCAACCTTGACTTCGTGATAGTAACACAGTCAAATTTGGTCTGATGATGAGATTCATCCAGGAAGTAGACCATCTGTCTGTATTTTAGGTCATCTGAGTTCGTCTTCTGATCTGGTCTTGACAATAGATATATTGTTCTTACTTAAGATGATGTAATAACGATGATAATGTAATGGGAGTAACAACAGTTGAGAAATGACTTGAGGTTTCCAGATCAGTGTTGTTAAATAAGCATATGAATTAAAAGTAGTGAAAGACAAAGAAATGATGCTCAGAAAAGTTTATGAGTTGATTATTGTAGGATATATTTGGGAACAAGTTTACTGTTACATGCATTAAAGTTTGAGGTGTCGTTGGGCCGAGGTGTATCACATTTTTTGGACCTTGGTACGTTGAATCCCTTACTGGTCCAGTGCATGCCCCTCCCTTTCCACAATACATTCTTCGACGTTTAGTACTCTGGCTTAAGACAACCCTTTGTCTCATGATGAAATATCTCGATCAGTTAGTTCTTAGATTTATTACATGTATTTGAATGAAAAGTTTTTTTTTAAGAACTGAATTCTTTGTTATGATTCTCTGACACTGACATACAATTTCAGAATTTAACTGATTTGTCATTAAACAATAAAAGGTAGCAATTTTCTCTTCATGGCTCCGCCCTCACTAACGGTCACACCGTCTAACATATTAGCACATGAAGTTAAATCAAATACCTACTATACCAATTTTATATAATCATAACAATAATTATTCCATACCTGCAAATACTGGATGGAAAAAAATTCGTCGATCTTCTTGTTTACATCCAAAATACGCCATCTTAGATCTCGCGAGGCGCATTTACATATGAATAGGGTTGCGCGAGATAACGGGTACAAGTCAAAACGGCACCTGGTAAAAACGGCACTTAGGAAATATGCAAAACGGCACTTCAGAGTAGTCAAAACGGCACTTTAGAAAAGTCAGAACGGCACTTTTTTTATTTTGAGAATTTGATATTATATATACAGAAAATGGATCTTAATATTACATATATAATAATAAAAGTGTATATTATTATTGATAAAAATTTTATTGGAAAAAAATTAAACTGATTCATTTGAAAATTATTGTACTTTTGTACAGTGGTTAGATTTTTTAAATGTATTTCTATTTTAAATTATATATCTATTATTTTCTACTAAAGAGATCAAATCCCAATTATATTATTATACATGATCCTTTGAAATTTTAAAATTTATAGTGTTGCAAATATACTTCTCAGTTTTGGGGGTTGCCAGTCACAGTTGACTAATTAGAAGCCAGTTAGAGTATGTTTACTTAGAATACACTTGTAGGAATAGAAACAAAAGACCATTTCACACCTCCCCTTCAATAATCTGTTGATCGTCAATTTGCAATCATATCAGAGACATATAAATCTCTCTGTCTCTGATCATATACAGCTACTATTGTGTATTTCTAGACAAAATGTCAAATAGATTGTACACAAGTTAGAAAAACTTAGATAATCCTCTCCCAACTGTACATAAAATATGAATATAGCCATACAACATTTAACAATATAATAAACATGTACATAGAAGAACAAAACATTTGTTTTTTCATAATAAAGATGATACAATGTTGATATTGTTAAAATAATTTCTACAAAATTAGATAGAAATGTGAGATAAAGTGACTCTTACTGAATTTTCTTTTTTTTTTTTAAATCATTTACACCATTTCTTTTTTCATATTATCCTTAAGTCTGGTGATCTAAATCCCCTTATTTCTGAAGATATGAAGCATTTATCTCCCTTACTCCAGAGCAGTCAAGAATAACACACAAAGCACTTTAGAAGCAGTTTTTTGTGCATCTTTTGAACCAGAATTTCATCATTAAAAGAATAAGCTTGGCGACCAATTTTTTATCTGTGGAGAGTATATGCTTTGTTCTTCACCACAAACAGAAAAGAGTTTACAAGTCTATGACCATTATGTAATTATTACATAACAAAGTTGCATTTTCCCCTTCAAAGAATGAACAAAAATACAGAAATTGTTATATACTGGGTTGATAATGAAAACTGTATCTGGTCAATTTATGTTCCAAATAAAGCCTAGGTATTTGTCTACAAGCTGCTGTGCAGAAGTTTATCTAAATGCTGTGTTGTAACTCAGGGCAGTCAAAATCATATCAGCATCTAGGGAGGTTCTTCACAGCTCCCCCACTCCATTAAACTGGCTTTGATGATAAGAAACTGGAGACAACAATTCAGATGTAATTTATTGTTGTTATTTATGTAACTGTCTTTCTCTTAAGACACAAATTAGCCATGAAATTTAATTTAAAATGATAATTTTCTCTTTTATGGATTTACTCAGGAATTCCAAAGGTGTTTTAATTTCCATG